GTACGGGCTGAAATGTTACAATCCAAGAAGATAAAAGTAGAGGGCTTACCTTTTGAAACCATTACGGTTGAGAAATTGAGGGATTACTTTGAGGCATTTGGTGACCTGAAAGAAATTGATCTGTTGATCAATTCCAAGACAAAAACTTGTGCTGCTRTTGTTATATTTCAAAAAGCAGATGGTATCCAAAATGCACTTGAGAAAGAGAATCAYCAAATTGATGGCTGTGTGGTGAAACTGCTAAGAATTCMAGAWTCTWCCAAAACTGSAGCAAGAGAGARAACTTTGTTTCTGGAAAACCTTGCTCCTAAAACCACTGAAAAGACACTAATAAACTACTTTAGTCACTATGGTCAGATAACCAAGGCTCATGTTGTAAAGGACTACAATACTGGATTAAGCCAGAGATATGGTGTGGTGAAATTCAGAAAACATAGAAGTTTGRATTCATTTCAAAACATTTCAGGGCATGTTATAGATGGTTTTCCAGTCACAGCCAGGCGRCGTGGCCTTAAATTCCGTCCCAAGTTTTTGTTTAATGAGATAAGTGGCCTCAATCTTCATCTCTCAAAATCTTAGAAAATGATGTTTAATATAAACAATAGCTGACTTGCGAATTTTGCCTCAATAGTCACGCACAAAGGAATCAAGACGAGCCGCTGTGCATAAAGCTTTTGAAAAGACAATAGTTTTTCAAAATCTACTGAGCTTTACACATGGCGACTTGTCTTGATTCTTTTGTGTTTGACTAATGAAGTGAAATTTGCAAATCAGCTATAGCATTGGAAATAAAAGACTCAACCCCAGTCTTCTCTCCTCTCTCTGGTGGATGAAAGGAATATCAAAGTTTTGTCAGTCTCAAGAGTAAAGGTGTGTGGTGTGAGAGACGACTAAGTCAAGGGGAGGGGTGAAGGGTTAGTCAGGTGTTAGGTGAAACATGCCTGCAAACTTACTTTGTGTGGCTTTCAGTGATTTCAAATTGTCCTTGAATTTGATTAATGCTCAGTTCAAGCCYGTCTATATAGTTARGTTCAAAAATTAAATGACAATACTCCATTTTTGAGATCTATTTCCATTTGCGCAACCTTTACTTCAAAAGCATGTAATATATTGAAACACCATGTGTACACCCTGTTTAAAAAGTAAAAAAAAAATTATGCATGATTGAAGTTAAGCTTGCCGAAACTTGGGTGTTTAGTGGAAATGTTGACCAACCACTGTCAGGTTTTCTGATATGTATATAAGGAGCACAAAAGGCCATTTTCATAAGAATCATTGAATATTGTAAACCATCATCATTTTGTGTAGTTTGTAAGATATTCATAGAGGTAATTGTGATTGTCTTTGAAGGCCAGCAGCCTTAATCAGAAATGATTTCACATTTTAATTGAAAGCTACTTTGTTTAAATCAGTAATTAAAACACAAWTAGCAACACAAACTTTGCACTAACAATCCAAAACATCTTGCAAGTTGAGTATATTTTTGTTGGTTGGTTGGCTGTTTTTTTGTTGTTGTTGTTGTTGTTTTTTGTTTGGTTGTTTTTTCTTTTGCTTTTTTTGGTTATTTTTGTTCTTGATTTGTTATTATTTTAGACTGACTCCATAAGTCATAGTTTTTGCTCCTTGGTTTTTCTGGTTTGTCGCAAAACTAGACCATGAGCAACAAAAACTCTGACACTGAGCAAACTGGGACTGSCTTATGGAATCAGTCTATTATTATTTTTATTTATTTATTTTTAATTTTGCAGTAGTTCCAAAAGAAGCAGGCACTACTTAAAATGCTAGTGAAAATTTTCCATTCACTGTAAGGTATTTAGGCAGGATTTGGCTTAATTAGTTCAGTCATGAGATTCAGGCTGCACATTTTGCTGTAACTCATGGATAGGATCAAGATGTGTCCTCTGATTGGCTATTCAACTAAATACAATATCAGCTCATAACCTATGAGTAGACTGAAAGCTGATTGAAATTGGTCGATTAAGGGCCACGTGTTAGATAACTCTATGGGTTAACCGTGTCACCCTCCTTAAATAAAGTTTATTGTATTGTATTGTATTGGTTAAGCTTGAAATTGAGGATGGGGCGGGAGGTTGACAATCTATTCAGTTTTTTTAAGCTAGCATAGAGAAAGAAAACTAATYTATTATGTGAAGCAACACAACTGTTGAGCCTGGGCCCCCTGTGTTCCAAAATGTCGCCAGTAACCTTGATTCGGTCTTCTCAGTTTAGTTTGGTTCTGTGCAAGTGGCCGAGATTCGGGTCTGAATTTTCTTGTAGAACAGTTCTAATTTGACGAAACTTAAGTCGGGCCCTTGCGGGTAGCCCAACTAAAAAGTGAAGAATGTAGGTCTCTTTATGCAAAATTTCTCACTAACGTTAGACCTGTGGATAAGTTGTGGTTCCCAATCCTTCTCAGTTTCTTACATGTGCATTTCGTGTGTCATTGCATAACTTTTATGGTTCTGGAGATTCGGGTCTGAATTTTCTTGTAGATCCTTCTGATTTGACGGTATTTAATTCAGTTGTGGTAATCATAAAGAAAAGATAAATGAGTTTTATCCCAAGAATTTCTCGTCTTCTTTGTCACAAGAATATTTCAAACGCTTTCGCTTTCACAGTTCCAAGATGGCGGCGCCCTCAACACAT